CATGGATTTCAACAATATTTCTTTTCAATAACAAGGGATTGCTACTGAAAGAGCTGCATATCTCAGATCTCACTCAACTTTCTAACAAAGCATAAAGACAATGGAGGATATAAAATATGAGTAAATTCTAGTATCTGGCACCTGAATGTAAAATAAAGAAAAACTGCATTCTGACTTCCAGTTACAATGGCATAAAATCTCATCATAAGAACTCCTATTTCAATTGCTTTCCCAGATTTAAATATAAATTTACAAGGCATACTAAAAGCCAACAATAATTGCAAATATCAATTTGAAGAAAAAGTCCAAGCATCAAAATCTTATTCCTCTGTGGCAGAGACGTGGCAGCTATCAAATCAGACACTAAACTGCTGGGGCATGCACTATGATACAGTAGGTTAAGCTTCCAACTGTGGTGCTGGTATCATATATGGGCATAGGTTTGTGTCCTGGATGCTTTACTTCCTATCTAGCTCCATGCTTATGGACTGGGAAACTAGCTGAGGATCATCCATGGGTGCTGGACCCCAGCACTAATGTGGCAGACCCAGAATGAGCTCTTCATTCCTAGATTCAAAGATTCAGCCATAGTGGTCATTTGTGGAATGAAACAGTAGATGGGAGATCTCTCTCTCTCTTTTCTATCGCTTTCACTCTCCTCTCTGAAATTTAGGGTTTCATATCAATATAAAATAAATCATTTTTAAAAACATTCATAATTAATATATTAGGAGTTGTAACAAAGCAAAAACGTCCACAACCTGAATGTGTGCTTTGAACATTGTGTTTCTAGGAAAAAAACAATGTCTTGCATCATCACTGTCATGCTAGAGCTCACCTTCTACCACAGTAGACAGTGAGACAGGCAGGTGGTATACTGCAATATGATAGCTGATTCAATGTTCAATTTCCTCCTATCTAATCTAGTGCTACAATCACGGCTTGCCTCTTTTGTGAATGCTGTTTTCATTTCCCCCACTGTTCTATGTTTAGCTACATTCTGTTTTCACTTTTTTTTTTAAAGGCAGATAGGCAGATATACAAAGAGAAGGAGAGACAGAGAAGATCTGCCCACTAGTTCATTCCTCATGTGGCTGCCGTGGCTGGAGCTGAGACAATCTGAAGCCAGGAGTCAAGAGCTTGTTCCAGGTCTCCCCTGTGGGTGCAGGATCCCACGGCTTTGGGATGTCCTCGACTGCTGTCCCAGGCTACAAGCAGGGAGCTGGATGGGAACTGGAGTAACTGGGACATGAACCAGTGCTCATATGGGAGCTTGGCAGATGCTAGGAGAGGATTTAGACACTAGGCTATCTTGCTGGGCCCTTACTTTTGTTCTTATTGCAAATCAGTTTTCTCCTATCTAATCCTTCTGACTGGTTCAGTTCTTAGAACTCTCTTGGCTTCTGAATATTTCTTCAGTAGGCATACACCATATAAAGGCTGTAAGAAAAGTATTAGTAAAATTGGATACTTCCCATTACAGTCATTCTTCTGATTTTATATCCCAGTTATATTCAAGATTAGTGGCAGAGAAATAAAAAGAAGCCGAAAGACAAACGTTCCCTGATAGTTTTTTTGTATTTTTGTAGCTGTTCTGAAAATAAATTTGAGTTATACCACCTTATTTTAGTATTTGTAAGTTTAACTTTATACTAATAGACTTTAAAAAGATACAGATGTTGAACTTTAAAATTTTCTTACACTTCCTTAGAATATTATGGATTCTATTTTTATTGATAATTTAATGTTATTTTCCATTACAGATTTAAGGTATAATTTACGATATCCATATCAATATAGCATTGACATGAAAAACCTCAACATAAACTTTTTTTCTAGTAAAAAGTTTCCTCTAGATGTCAACACAAGTTGGATCCACCTTAGCCCTGCAATTTCTTGCAGATACTATCATTTTACTGCAATTACTTGTTAAGTTACACTTTAGTTTTCAGGGCTTAAGACAGTAAGGATAAGATCCATTGGAAATGATTCAGCAAATACATTTCTAAGTACATTTTACTTATAAAACTCCTCCCCCCTATTTAATGGATTTATGGCTTAAAAACTATATCTTAATGTATTTAAATTTTCAACATGTACAAATATATAAGCATTTACCTTTCAGTGTGATTTTTTTTTATTAAGAGATTGGGTAGTAAAAGATTCATATTTCAAATGTTGAATTTGATATAAAAATATTAATTATTTGGAGGAATTATAGAAATTGTGATATTGAATTATTTATAAATGTATCCATGTTATATATTAATCAAATAACATAACAGACTGACTAGGGCCTTTATTTTCTAAATCACTTAAATTCCAGGATATATTTAGCATAAATATATATATATATATTATGTATATTTATAATATATATATAAAGACTTATTTATTTTTTATATTTTTAAAATATTTATTTATTTTTATTGCAAAGTCAGATAAACAGTTGAGGAGAGACAGAGAGGAAGATCTTCTGTCCAATGATTCACTCCTCATGTTACAGAAACGGCTGGAGGTACACTGATCCAAACCCAGGAGCCTGGAACCTCCTCCAGATCTCCCACACAGGTGCAGGATCCCAAGGATTTGGGCTATTCTCAACTACTTTCCCAGGCCTCAAGTAGGGAGCTGGATGGCAAACGGTGCTGCTGGCATTAGAACCGGTGGCCATATGGGATTCCAGAGTGTTTAATGCAAGAACTTTAGCCACTAGGTCACCGCACAGGGCCCCAATATATATATATATATTCAATATATATATTCAATATATATATTCAAGTATACGAAACATCTTAGTCTTTTTTCTACTGACTCTTTAAGGAAGTCATCATTGCAATCTTTGGTGTCAGAAAATCAATTTCTTGGCACTAAAAACTTTCCACGATGAAGTAACAGAATATACAATGTTCTTTCTAAGAGACTCAGACCACTGGAATCACTAATAGATAATTCTCCCAACAGTACAAAATCAGAATTGAAGAATTTTCACGAGAAAAAAAAAGTTCTTTTTTGACAACTCTACATCTCTCCAAACTAGTGGCTCCTGGGGTTAAACGTCAGGAACAGCAGGTGACTTTCACTAGGCTCCTTCCACAATCACCTTCTCAAATTAATTTGCTCTGCAATATGTATTAGCCATCTTCCATTCAATTTCCTGGCAGCTTTCAAAGATCTCTGCTAGCTATTTTTTTCTTTAGATCTAGATCTGAGAATTTCTAGCCTCATCCAGATTTATGCATATTTTTTAGACATTTGGCCAGGCCTCTGATTTCCATTAAGTCTAATTCATTAACCATGAATTGCATCACAAAACTGAAGCAGTTCTCTCATGACTTACCTCCAAGTTTGGTTATCAGTACTCTGGCAATGGTTTCTGAAACAAATATTTAAAACTGCAATGCCACAGCCTTGCCAACTGGCGTTCTCTTATGATATTCATGCGCTGCAAGTTGCTTAGAAAAGAATTGTGTTAAAAATTAAATTTAAAAATGGAGACATTTTTACCAGAAGTCTTCTCCAGAGTTCATGGAGTTCAAGCAGATATAAATTTGCTGAGGAAACAGATTTATCCTATTTAGACATACAATATGCTGCGTCCAACTCTGGAAGTCCTGCCATGTCATTGAGCAAGAAAGAAACTCAGCCAACACTTGACAATGTTAAGCAATTTCTCCATTGTCACCCTCTTTTCAACTATATTATGACATTAAAGGAAAATGCATTAAGTCACTCATAACTCCAGATGGATCAGTTTGCCAGAATATTTTTCTCCTGAAAGGAAGACCTGAATGTACAGTTCAGGATGAATAATAGTAAGGGAAATGTGGAGACAACTGTAATGTTTATAAACAGAGAAAAACAGAAGCACCAAAGCATAATTCCCCTACTTTTATTTCTCATAATATTCTGTTACAGGAGGTCATATGCACAGAGCAGGGTGGGACCCCAGACTGGAGCAGACAGACAGGAGGAGCCTTGTATCCCAACCCCAGAGGCCCCTGGATCCTCACCAAGGCCTCAGTATGGGCACCAATGAATACATCCCAACTGCCAAAGAGACCACGGGGAACTGGAGTGCCTTCGCAGGCCGAGCACTCAGAGGACATCCTGCCACCCCCTTTGACCTACCATACGGGATGAAAGAAGCCCAAATCCTTCTTGGCGGGATCCAAGGTCATCGGAACAATTCACAGGAACCTTGAGCGGTCCACAGAAACAGAACAGTAAACTTCCTTTGGGACTAGGGAGAGGAGCTTTCTCTGATCCTTACTTAGTTCCATTGAAGATTTCTCTGCACACCCCTCCTAAAACTGTTCTGCCCTTCAATTGTTGACATATGCCTCGTTAGAGTTATAACCCAGTTTAGACTATCCTAAAATCTGCCAAGTTCAGCAAAATTAGGCTTCAACACTATAAACGGCTAAATACTAAAATGAAAACAGACATGAGACAGCTGAATAGTACCCTATAGCCATTTTAAGGTGTATAGCAGCTGGTTCTGTGTATAAACTAAAACTGAAATATCAATGAAGAAGTCACAGGATGTGGTTAAGAACTTGCATTTTTTTTTAACATATTGGTTACTCAATGCCATATCAATTAATTCCATAATGTTGTGAATTTTTGTTGATATTATGTTGGGACTTTAAATTGACTGGGATGATATTCTGCTAGCTCTGCCTTCAGACCAGAGATGGTCTCCCCAAGAAACTGTTGAATTAACCTGGACAATAAGATGCTGGACTCTATGTTTGGTATACTCTTGCAATGAAAGAATATTGACTGAATTTGAAATGTAATACAGTAACAAGGTGGAGGAATCCACCATGTGGGGGCAGGTACGGGGAGGGGTTGGGGGATCCCCAGAACCTATGAAACTGTGTCACAACATAATGCAATGTAATTAACAATAATAATATATATTAACAAAACAAAACAAAACAAATATTCTGTTACTTATTGCATTTAAAAGTCAATGTAAAAAGAAAACACATTACCACAAATGTGGCTGTATAGACGTGTGGCGAGCCAGCTTCACCTTTGCACACGCCATGAGTACAGGAGCTGTGAATGCATTCATGGAGTTTCTTGTCACAGTGATGGCCACACCATCCTGTTAAACAAAGCCACGAAGCATATATTCAGATTTTAGTGATGAGGCTGATAACTTTGACAGCATGTTTATTGGCTCTTATTGTTGGCTACAAATATGCTAGAATAATTTTAGTTCATGTTCACAATCATTTTACCATATAATTAATATTAGCATATCTGTTCAATTCATGTGAAAATTAAACTCAATGAAGATAGACTTTTTTCTCTAAAACCAGGCAGTTACTTATACATGACAGCCAATGAATGAATTCTTATCTGTGTATCATATAACATTTACATATTCAAATATATTAAGTTATTTAAACATAAAACAAATACATTGATGGCAATGGGATAAAAGGACTCCATTATTCCTTTTAGCATATATATATAAGTCTTCAGTTTCAGGAAAAAACAACTATTGTAGATATCTGGCAGCATCTTACAGTTGGTATGTCTTAAGCATTTGTGGAGCTAAAATATAATACAGTGTAAGAATATAAAGATTTTATGCATGTTCATCTGATCATCAGCTGTATTAATCTCCTTAAGCATGATAGTCAATTTTCATTCTCAAGTATAGTTGGAGTATGTATATCTTGTCTTTTGCTATCTTCTTGATATTTTTATCAACTCAGCAGCTGATATTGCTAATCTCTCTACAAGGCAACATCACATTTATAGTATAGTGGTACTATTACTTGCAATGGTTTTAAAAATCACTAATTCTGTACCATCAGTTACTTTAAGTGAATTTTAATATGTTACCCACAATGTCATGTTAACTATTCTACAACAGTTCTTAAGGTGCAGCTCTCAGGCCCCAGTGATTGCTAATGTCTACACTGTAACTGAAAATCATATCATTTCTCCATGTTTATAAGTTCAGCAGAATTTATTCTGTACCATGGCTAATAAAACCTATTAAGTTTCATTTATGATCCTAGTTAAAAATGTGGCTACATTATTCTTCCATAATAATTAAAAAAAACGACTACATAGTTAAAAATGTGGCTACATTATTCTTCCATAATAATTTTTTTAAAAAAACAATTACATATTGAGTGTGAAAAAATGATTCAATGAAATAAAACATTGTAACGAGAAAACAAATGCACACCTTTAAATAATCAGCAGTATCAGAATAAAAATTACAAGTGGATGACAAAAGACTGAATGTATCATGTCTTTGTCCAGGATGCTTTCCATTTTCACATGGTCTTTTAGATGTTGGAATGATTTTGCACATTTTGCAAACATAGAATGTATCAGAGGTAATACAGAAAGAATACTTTTGTAGGGCGCATGAAAAGTTATACAACCATTCACATGGCTGTGCACAAAAGCATATTCCATAAAACTAGTAACATTTGGATAACTGTTCTTGTAAAAGTCAACTACATACACAACTTAATAACAATACCTTAGTAACATTTACTAGTAACAGACACAAATACAAATGTAGAAAATCTGTGGAGAATTATAATGGAATGTTGATTGTAAAATTCAGAATAGATACTTCAGGGTTAGGGAAAATAAAGAACACTCTCCAGAGAGAAATTAGAGGAAGCTAAAGATATTACTAATACTTTATCTCTTAAAGGAAATGGTAGATCTAAACCCACTTATCATAGTTCTAATATAGTACATGAATGACATAAAATGTAATACTATCTTACTTATAACTTTAACTTTTTATTATTTTCTTTAATTTGAAAGATAGAAATATAGAGATGAAAAGGAGGAGAGAGAAGAGAAGATACTGCTCATCAGTTGGTTTGTTCTCCAGAGGCTTGTTCCAGGCAGAGCTCGGCCAGGTCAATTCCAGGAACCTGGAATTCCAACAGAATCTCCCACCTGGTAGAGGGATCTAACCACTAGGACCTCCATCCCCTGCTTCACAGGGGATCCAATAAAAGGGAGTTTGAATAGGGAACAAAACCCACTTTCAGTACTCCTAGTGAGTCTGATATGGAATGTGGGCATCACAAGAATTGTCTTAATTCTAAACGATGATCCTTGTCACACATCCTTTTGAATGGATGAAATATTTCAGACTAGATTTTAACAACATGTAGCGATATATGTAATAAAAATGTAGTTTTCCTTTTGTATCTAATCCTATAGAAGGCATAGGAAAGCTATAAGTAAAAGGATAAACAACAAGACACTACTCTAGTGTAATAACTGCAATATAAGAAGTACAATTTTTGCCAGTAGGAAAGAGAAACTGAACTCAACTAAAATGAAACAGAATTGGTAGGAGTTTTTGACCTGGCAGTGAGTTAACTGAAAAAATATTGAAGGATGTTTTAGTAAGGGGAAGTAGGCTAATGGGTAAGGCTGCCTAACGTTCTGATTATCTCTGGAGTCAGGATGCTAACTTTGAAAACGGGGAGGGATGAACGTTATGTACTTCTAGATTACAGGTAAAAAGTATGACTCTTATAGATCTTTGGGAATGGTAAGTCTGGTTCCTAAACATGACAACAGTCTGAGAAAAATTATAAATTTCAAAAGATAAAGAAATGACTTCCAGTAGGTGTTCTGAGGTTAAATGCTCTAAGGATAGGACATAAGTCTAAAATGAGGAAGGAGTCTGTGTAAAGCCATTCAAACTAATGGGAACCATCTTGGTCAAAAATTATAACCTAAGATAGAAAAGCAGTTGGTCAGAACTCGTGTAGTGGCATAGCAGTAAAGCTGTTGCTTGTGATACCAATGGCCCATGTGTACCAGGTCCGGTCTCAGCTGCTGTGCTTCAGTGGGTGGAAGGGGAGCAGGCTGAGTAAGAACTGGCACCCATATAGGATGCTGGTGACACAGACACTTAGCCTATTGCAACACAGAAATGTTTCTAGGTAAGACCGCCAGAAGACTTACCAGAAGCTAAGATGAAGAAAGGTTATTTTTGACCCTCATGTACATTTGATATTCATTTGTCATAACAAACAAAATATTCTGGAAAACAAATGGCAATTTAAAAACAAGTAACCAGAGTTGTCATTAGTAATGTAGGCCAAAGAATCAAAATCATTATGGTGTCAAACTCATAATAGTAATCTAATACCTGACACATAACAGGAAAAAAATATTTATAGAATAAATTATGCTAAACAATGCCAAGTACAAAACAAAGGTGACTTATAAGGCATATTATGGCAAAAGATGCAAAAATTTAAAATTGATGACTGTAACAAATGTTTAAATTTCTCAGCATACACACCTTGTAACACTAAGCAGTTTTAGTAACAACATTCTGTGCAAAGATGAACAATTATGATGGGTTGAGTTTGCGATTGAAACTGAAAGTCACTATTTCAAATACATGCATTTTCATTTCATTTTCCTTCTTAGTACCAAGTGGTTTGCATCTAATCTTGAGCAAATAAAACAAAAATTAAACCTAAACTTAAAATAAGTGTATTACTAGTTAACATATTTTTAGTAACTAGATAACAAAAAGTGATTTTATTTTCTTACTCTGAATCTAGAATATAGAGAATAATTATTTTGCAAAAAAAAATCACATATGCTCTAATATCATACAAGGATCATTTTGCTTTTCATGGGCCTAGATTTTTTTTTAAAAAAGAAGATTTATTTATTTTTATGGGAAAGGCAGGGGAAAACAGAAGAATTCCTAGGCAGGGTAAATTTCAATTCAATATTATCTAATATAGGAATAATGGCATGATGGATGTAGACCAGATTTCAAGAAGAGTTATCAATATTATTAGATGATTTTCTTCATTTGTGACAGGGAAATACGAACCTCTATAAATAAAATTAATTAGTCTGTATGTCTTTCTTTCATATTAAGGAAAAGGTAAATAGCTAAGATCTACTCAAAACAGGGGGAAAGTCCTAATTTTCTGCTGATAGAACTTCTGTGAGATAAAATAAAGCAAATCAGGATAGGGAAATCGGAGGATCCTCACAGTAGTTAAAATCACTAAAATCCAGAATAAGATATGGCATACCATTATATCTGATAATGAAACTTTTGCTTATGATTATCAATTTTTTTTACTATGTTAATAACATTTAATGTTAGATCCACTTTTTTGGCAAGAATTTTTAAATGATTTATATATTTATCTTGAAGACAAACAAAGGGAGAGAGAAAAAAAAAAGAGAGAGAGAAAATCTTGAGTATGTTGGTTCACTCTCAAATGGTTACAACAACTAATACTGGACCAGGATAGTTCCAGCAGTGTGGAAATTCCATCAGAGTTCTCATGTGAATTATAGTGTCCCAAGTATTTGGGTCATCCTCTTCTAGTTTCTCAGGCACATTAGCAGAAAGCTGGAATTCTGATATGGATGCCATTGTAACAAGCAACATAATCTGGTATGCTATCAGGTTATGTTGCTTAACATCACCCCTTAACAAATGTTTAACTGTGCTTGACTGTGAAATGCATTGCAGTTTAGGCATTCTATTTATAACAGATTTCCAGAATTCATTCACCGTGTACAAATGAAACTTAATGAGAAATTGTTATTTAGCAAGATACCATTTGGGGGGAACATGAGAGATAACAAATGAATGCATAAGTCATGCCAGGCTGCACTTTCTGGATGTGAAACACAGCTGTCACTAATGTGCCATGGGAGATTACTTGGGAACCCGGGGTTCTCATTGCTTATGAGTAAATAGATAACTTCTTTTCAAGTTTGAAACACAACCTACAGGGGTAATATAAATAAAATAAAATAGTGCTTTTGAGATAATATGACTATTATAATTTTTATCGTTTCCTAAAAACATGTATGCTAAAGTACCCAACATCTGAAATTTTCAATTCAGAGTAAAAGAAAAAGAAAAGCTCAACTAGAAGCATTTTCAGTGACAGAAAAATAAATATGTAATATTCTATCAAAATCAATTTTTGCTGTGTGCAACAGAAAGGTTGGCTGCATAAAGGCAGCACAGCACATTCAGGCACCTCTGGTTATTTAGCTATCTGTGGTGATAGTTACACAACTTAGACATATCTTGAAACTAAAAAACAAAACAAGACACCTTTTTATACAGCAATTAATTTTTTCATAGGAATAAAACACTGAAAATGGAGCAAACTCGATCATCCAAGAAAATTAAAAATGGAAAAAGAATAATCTACAGGAGGCAAATCATGTCTTAACTAATTTCAGTGGGGGTAGGGAGTTTAATATGTTCAAAAGCCAGGAAAATGGAAGCAGACATTGGCATTATGCAGCCCAAACCCTGAGCCCTTTTGAGCAGAGACAGAGATGTAGAACCGTGCTTATTGCATTTGGGAACAGGAATCTGACCTGCAGGCTAAGATGGGGTGGAGTGCCCCATCCATGTTGCAGTGTCTAACTAGATTAAAATCATGGCTTAGGTCGTAATTCCAGCTTCCTACTGGGAGGCACCCTGGGATACAAAAGGTGTTGGCTCAAATAGTGGGGTTCCTGATACCCATATATGACATCTCAATTCAGTTTCTAGCTTGACATTTCAACTCCAAATGTTGTGGGTATTTGGGGAAAAACCCCTTGTTAGATCTCTATGGCTCTTTCTCAGCCATTCAAACAAATTAGATACATAGATAGATGGATAGACAGACAGACAGACATTAGAGATAAAACTTCAAAAAAGAAGAAAGTATTTCATTTGTTGCCCAGTTGGCTTCTGTTCTTACAATTAAGTTGGTGAAGAGACCATTTTCCTAGGTGAAATAAGCCAGTCCTTAAAGGACAAATATCATATATTCTCTCTGATGTAAGGCAACATTCATGTGAAATACAAAGCAAGCAGTAAACAAGTATATACATATATATTCTAATAGATGAGCTGCATAAGGAAGGTTATAATACATGGGAGTGAAGATATTTTACAGTATGCATTTCCACTCCCAAAACGAAGACAGGACACCCAATGAAATAGTTACCTATACCTCAATAGTAGATGCTAGATTTTCTGCAGTTACTTATACCTAAATGCCATGGTAGACATGGGTGGCAGAATGCTGAGCTTGTAATTGTTGCTGGAGGATTATACTACTGTAATAATATGGATGGCATAGTGGGAGGGAAAAACAGGAAGGGGTAAGGAGGGAGAGGGGAAATCCCTATGCCTACAAGCTGTATTCTGGAAAATAACAAAGCTATTTCAAACTATTTTAAAAAGTACTGGTGAGTTCTGAACACCACTTACATCACAGACAGGCATCATTTTGTGTCCTGTGTTTTTACCAAGACTGATGAGCAGCATTCAAGACAGGGCCAAATCTGAATGCTGTGAAGGCTTTATAAGGGATTCGTGTTTCCTACTGAATCCAGAGTAGGCGGAATCTCAATCCACCACTTCAAAGTTTCTTTAGCAATTGTAAGGTATTAACAAAAAAGTACACTGGCATTTATAAGATGCATCTTTTTACTTATTCAAAATAATGATTTATGGCAAATTAAGCCTGGACTTGTAGAGTAGATTTAAACTATACCTTAGACAAGATTAATGAAAAGAAGGAAGAGAGGCAGGGAGAGGGAAGGGAATAGGGGATTGAGTAAAGTGGAGTTGTCTTCTCAAAACTGCATCTGTGGAAGACATAAAATCTGTTTTCTTTATATTAACAAAAATTGTAAAAAGCTATTATTAAAAAAGGAAACATGGGGCTGGTGCTGTGGCATAGTAGGCTAAGTCTTCCACTATGGCATCAGCTTCGCATATGGGCATCAGTTTGTGCTCTGACTGTTCCACTTCTCATCCAGTTTCCTGTGTAAAGTCCAGGAAGTCAGTGGAGGATGGCTCAAAGCCTTGGGCATCCATACTCAGTTGGAAGATGCAGAAGAAGCACCTTTGATGGGTTCAGCTCTAGCCTTTGTAGCCATTTAGAGAGTGAACCATTGGAGCACAGGGAGAAGGATGAAAGACCCTCTCTTTGTCTCTAATTCCCTGCAAAACTGCCTTCGAATAAAATCTTTTTCAAAAAGGGAGACTACCAATTACAAGATATGCAATGTGGGGCTTGAATAGTGGCACAATAGACTAAAACTCTGCCCGTAGTGCCAGAATTTCTGTTACCTACAGCCTGGGAAAACAGCAAAAGATGCCCCAAGTCCTAGGGGAGACAGGAGGTCCAGAAGCAGCAATTGTCTCCCGCATTTGGATCAGCCAGATCTGGCCATTGCAGCCATTTGGGGAATGAACCAATAAATGAAAGACCTTCTCTATCTTACCTTTACTCTCTGTAAAGTCTGCCTTTCAATGAAAATAAGTAAATTTTAAAAATAAGTAAATTAAAACAATATGTATTGATAGGATAAATAGATTTAACATGTAGGTGTTTTGTTTCCTAAGTATTTCTGTAGCACTATTTACATTGTTGTCCTAGCTATCATAAGGTTTAAAATGTTCAGAGCCCAGGAAAGGTGTTGCTTGAAAGAGACATAGCTTTTGAAAGGGTATTCCTTTCTTACACCAGAAGATTATTATCTTTATTCTACTTATTTTACTTTTGAATATTACAGTGTTACACACAGATAGCTATTTAGCAATACAGGTGGTAAGAGCTAGATGTTTGAAGTGACCATTGCATTGAACGTGCAAATGTAAAACTGGGTTCTGAATAAATGCTGAACTTCTAAACAGCATGTGTCTGACAATTGGTAGGCGTCCACTAGTTTTGTATGACTCCACATAAATCAAATATGCACTAATACTCGAGTGGCTGTCTGACTGCTGTTTTCTCAGTGGATGCAACAAACGCATTACTTACACACTATCTGGGGGCATCTGTGGGTCTGTCAATAATGGTGTTTTTTTTTTTCAAGTCACTGGAAATATTCCTCATATACTGCTAAAAGAGGATTTATGCTCAAACAACTTAGATGTTTAATAACCCTTTGGATAAATAAAACTGAATATTGAAAATGAGTGACAAAAGATAAAGTAAAAAAAATTGGAAAGGCTAGAGAACTAAATAAATAGAAGCAAGAAATGCTTGTACAATAATTCCTTTATATAGAACTTAAGTGGAATTGTCAAAAAGAACAGTTATTAATGAGTGGTTTACTCTGCTTTGGATGTTATACCAAAATATAAACCTGTTGCTTACAAACTACACAAATTTATTTCTCCCAATTCTAGAGATTGGAAAGTTCAAGATCATGTTGCTGAGTTCTTGCTTTCTGCTTCTTGGATGACACCTTCAGTTAGGGTCCTCACCTTGTGGAGGGGCAGCTTTCTTGCTGGAATCCCATATTTAAGGGTCCTAATTTCATGTATAAAGATTCTGCTCTCATGATTCTAACAAAGACCCTACTTTCAATTACTATGTTGTTGCTAATTAGATTTCAACCTGATAATTTTACAGAGAAACAAATATTTATGACATAAAAGGAGCTTTACTTTGAATAAAATCATTTTATTCAACTTACCCATTTCTGTGCTCAGAACTGTTAAAAGAAATGATACTACCAGTAAGAATAAGAACTAGCATTTCCAAAGTACTTGTTATGATATAACTGGTAGGAAGATCAGGAATCTGAAATTTACAGATTTTATGTGATAGGGTGTTTCTTTATACTCAAATATAAGAGTGTTCTGCCAATACCCTAAGTATCTGCATTACTAGCATCGGAGAACATTGATTTCATCTTTTCCAACCATGTTTTTTATATATGACTTTACTGAAAGTCAATACTATTGCTGGTGCCAGTTGTCAAAATTGTATTATGTACATAAAATGTAGGTAAATATATATATCTTAATAATATATACAACATAGTGAAACATTTGTACAGAACATTTGTAGAACAATTACCTTGTTGGCATATGCAAATGTATCCATTGATGTGATGCTCACAGTTTGCACCATTCCGACATGGTGATGAAGAGCAGTCATCTACATCCGTTTCACAAAATGGACCAGAAAATCCAGGAAGACACCTAAGAATAGAGTGAAAATTAAACATGGATATATGACACGTGTAAGCAATATTACCTTTGGCCTTGAGATGTCTTTATTAAAATATGTTTTTGGCGCTCTAACAACATGCAGCTAGAAATCTGTAATAACATAATAAAGTGTAATAAAATTAATTCCAACTTCTAATACATGCAGCTCCTATTATTCAGCGCCTGTGAATGCTATGTTTTATAATATGGCCTTTCAAAGGTAATTAATTAAGTTAGAGACCTTAAGATTAGTTCATCCTGAATTAATTTAGGGGGTCCTAAATCCAATGACAAGTGTTGGTATAATTGAGAAGACCATATTTCTGAAAATGGAAGCAGACATGGGCATTACGCAGCCCCAAACCATCAACCATCTGGGAGCCTTGCGAATTCATAAGAGAAGTGTCCATTGGAACGTTTCAAAGGAATGGTTTCAGTGACAGTCTGATTTTGGCACTGCTTTATTTGGATAGCCATTTACAGAGGTATTTAGTTATGTACTATTGAAAATAGGTCCTGCGTTTCTGAAAATTATTTTATGCAGCCATAAATAAGTTTTAGGGCTAGCAAATGATCCAGTATGTTGCTGATCCCATTGTGCTAATCAATGAAGCGTCCAAAGAAGTAATTCCTGACAAAAACAACACTTCTAACTGTATATGAATTAATGGACTAAGCTTTCATTATCAAGATGAAGTCATTTTTTGAATTGTTACTTGAACTGTGAATCTAGTCCCCTTTTATAACAAACTCATGCCATTTTAGTCACTAGGAGAGTTACCTCACATATAAAATGTAGTCAGAGCTCATTTTGTTCAGAATTGAAGTTTTCATTTTTTCTAAGTATCAATAATTGCTCTTCAAAATGCATAATTAAGATCCTCATCAGTACACATCCTTACCCATTGTTAATATTATTATCATTATTATTGTTACTGAACTTGACTTCAAAGCAAGAATATCAATGTAGCACAGTATTTCTAAGGGATTAGTTTAAAAAATATTTAGTAGTTTTTTATTTGGTAATAACTTGAGATTGATGGGAAAGTTACAAAAGTTCCTACTGCTGATTCTTCTTATTAAAAATTTACACTAATATGTAAAATGTCATAATGTTGACATATTATTATTAAGGTATAAATAACTATTATTCTAATTTTCCTCAGTTTTACCCAATGTCATTTTGTTCCTCTATGAATCCTTTTCAGAATATTATATTACATTTAGTTTTCATGTCTCTTTGTGATAGCTTCTCACAGTTTCTGATCTTTGCCTGTTTTGAGGAATATTAACAAAATATTCTGTATTATTGAGTCTTAGTATTGAGTCTGAGTATTTTAGTATTATTGAGTCTTAGGCTTGCAATATGGCAAGTGTCTTTGTGTGTTTTAGGGAAGGAAGACGGAGAAAAAACTCCTATCACATCAGATTAGGAGTACTTTCAATGGAAGTTGTCATGCACATTCCACATTTAGAGGGATGAGAAATTATGCTCCACCTTCCAAAGAAGGATGTAGATAAATATTTTTAAATACTTGTCCGTGTCTGAACAAAGGAAAACAAATTCTGGCAGCCTGAGTGGGTTTACTTCATATCAATGTCAGTTTAGGAAGAAATGGCATTTTTACTCCATTTTCTATTTCATGAATAAGGAATATCTATTTACTAGAATTTTATTACAATTTTATTTCTTCTGTTAGCATTTTGCAATTTTAACATAAATTTACATATTTGGTAGATTTATTTATACATTATCAATATTAAGTGATTACTATTGTAATTGCTTGCTTTTTGTTTTCTTTCCAATGTCCAATGTCCATTGCTAGAAAATGATTGATTTTACATCCTGCAACTATGCTACAGTATCTTAGTATCTTAGTTCCACAAATATCTTATAAAATCACTTTAGATTTCTTAGGGCTTTTCAAAAGACAACTACTACATTTGAGAAAAAAGACAGTCTCATTTCTTCTAACCCAATTTTGAAGCCAGCTATTTATTACTTTTCCTTGTATTATCACCATTGGTAGAACCTCTAGGATAATGTGAAATAAGAATTCTTAGGGAGAATATATCTGTTTTATTTTCAGGTTTTCAGGAGAGAGTAATTTTCTCCACTAAATATGATCTTAGGGTTTTGGGTTTTGTTTGTTTTCTTGTTTGTCTGTTTGCTTTTTTTTTTTTGTATATGCCCTTATTTAGTTCCAGCAAGTTCCTTCTACTACTAGATTTTGGCAGTTTTGGTAATGAGTAAGCATTGAGATCAACCAAATGATTTTCTGCATCCAGAAAAATAATAATATCCTTGTTATCTGTGTTACCTAGTGTTTGTAGGATTATTGCCAAACAACATTCAAAACTGGTTGCAGTTAATGTAGAATCCCCAAACTGGGTCTGCTTGCCCAATGTGCAGAAAGCCAATCAGTGACATTGGGGTAGTGTGAAGAAGTAGGTCTATGGCAAAGCACAGAGCACAGAGCTGGGTGGTTGCTGCTCAATTCCTAGCTCCCTCAGTAGTCACAGGTAAAGGTTCTTTGTAGACAGATAATTGGAGGCTGAGAGGTGTGTACATGTAAAGTTCCTGATTGGTCAGGGAATTTATGATGTTCTGGTGGGCTCGACTCCACCTGGGGTCATTTGAATGTAGTTGCATTCTCTCCAGGGTTTCCCAGAAAGAGGGTACTGGGCATTAAGGTTTATCTATAGACAGACAGGAGGCTCTTTGTGATTTAAACCCTGAAGCCTTTCTCTCATTTTGGTGAATTCCTTTTCATAAAGAACAGGCAAGGAAATTTTGTGCTAAGGGAGACCAGCCAAGGACACCTGAGGTTGGGGAAAGGGCATGAGTCTGGACCATGTTTCTACATCAAAGGAATTTGGATTGAGAATCATTATTCATCAAGTGATAAGAGCCATGAATATGATCATGTGTATGCTTTATCAAGTATCTCATGTATATAACAAATTATACTGAGTATTTCCTGCTAAGTCAGCATTGTTCTCCTGAGTGAACTCCACATTTTGATTCAAGCTTGCATATAGGCATAATTGTTTGGTGATTTGTAAAATGCCTAAAAATCCTAATTTTAAATCCAAAAATTAATATGGAAATGGAAGAGCTAAAGAGGGAATGAGAAAGAAAGATGTTTCATTAACTCGCTCACTCTTCAAAGGCTGCAATATCTAGTTCTGGGCCAGGTCAAGGAGCCAGAAACTTCATCGTCATCTGCCACAATGGTGTTAGGGGGCCAAGTACTTGCGTACTCTGCTGCTGTCCTTCCTGCTATATTAGCAGCAAGCTGGCTCTTATATGTGGCTTGCTGGCATCACAAACAGTAGCTAAGCCTGCTATGATAACAATGTTGACCTCTAAGTTCAAACTTTCACTCCTTTCTTAAATGTAAAATTCTCATCTAATTGTTGGAAATGTTTTTGAATGGTCTTGTAACAATAGAAGAGCATAACAGTACACTGTTATTCCATTGACGATCTTTACACGGACATTTAGTTTGAAGTGCTATTAGCAAATGGTGACAGTGACCCCAAATAAGTCTGCAAATTAGAAAGCACAGCTTTACCAACTGTTATAAAAATTGTAAATGTAACCATCTAGCACTATGATTCTGTTACTTTCATACTCTTTTCCTTCAACACTCTGCCAGTCACTACATCCTCCTTAACCTGTTTTTTGCAAATCTTTCTCTAAGTTTTCAATACTGATATTATTATCTTTATTTTTCATGTTAGTTAGGATGAGTAACAATTTAATTTAATGCAACTTAACTGAGACACTCACACAAAACTCATTTGCCTTTGTAATATCTACTTTTACAGTTTTAAAAGAAACACATCTGCAACATTTTATATGCTATTTGCATGTCTTTGATAATATAATTGAATAGAATACAGCTTATAATTGTGAAAGAGGAAAAGACAAAAGGCAATTTTAAAAAAATTACAAAGCACCAACTTTGAGAACAGTAACTGCCTAGAAGTTGAGTGTTTATCACTATTAGAAACCTTGATGGATGTAATAATTCTCAAGTTAAGAATATTTTAATAAGTTTCATATATTTAAGTAAGACATATCATACAATTTCAGAATCCTCAGAGTTCTTATAGCTAATTTGCTTTTTTTTTTAACTAACTCATGAGTACAACTGCACACAATTTCTTGAACAAGGAATATACTTAAACATTAAATGTACAACCCCGTGAATATTAAACATGCCTTTTCTAGGTAACTGAACATCACCAGCGATGAACTGGGAGTCTCTTTAGGAACTCAAACATTCTGTGTATAACTCTGATCTAATTTAATTTATCTATATTGTGGTCGAAAAATCAACATCTTTTACAGTAATTTTTTGCTTATTTTCGTGGAATTAGAGAATAGACATGGACAAAATGGAATAAAACAAACCACTTGACATCACTCTTGTCATTCTGTCTAGACTTGCATGTCTTGGATGACATGTCTAATGGTCCAACTGAAACTGAAATGGGCATAACAAGTGACCTAAGTGGTTGAAATCCAAACATTGTCACTTAATCTGTCCCTCATATGAATGGCTATGGAATGAGAATACTGACTTTCTTTCCTTACTGTTTCCATAATTTGATTTGAAAACTACCAAATCACTGAGAAATATAAGAAGGGTGCAGGAAGATAAACCAGGAGTGTCTTAGTGATATGAGTAGAATGATCTTCATTATTTGTTCCATAGAATTCCAGTGCATGCTGTACTATTTGACCATGCTATACCCTTTACCCTCTTAAAAATACTGGTGTTTAAAACTCATTTGGTTATGAAAAGACTCATTTGGTTAATATGATGTAGAAATGTGATCGACTGGAAACTAAATTATTACTTATATTTTCATATGTGTAATTCTAGTTTATTAAGGCCTTAAATAAGTGAAACACTGCATATCATAATTGGTATGGCAAATAATTAGTTTTATTAGTATTGCCTAAAGCATGCATTCTT